TACGTTCTATGCGTGGTGGCTCCCGAGATGGCAATGTGTCATTGGACTCATTGGCGTTGTCATTGTTGTCATTAATTTCCTAGGATTCGAAACATCGTCATATAGTGTAACTTACAGGTGAAGATGTCCCTTCTCCTCTGAAGTAGTACAGTGCCTCATTCAGAGCGGATTTACGTTCCCGCCTAGGATTTCAGCGAATTGACTAGCTCATAGCAATCTCTGCAAACGCACAGGAAACAGTTGAATGACAGTTATTTTTGATAGTACTTGTCGTGTCACTATGACTACTTCTCTGCAGTGCTCGCAAACCGCTCACCATGTGTACTGTGCGTTTGTAGGGCTCACGAGCATTGCTCGCGAGGGCGAAAGGACAGTAAGTGGCTTCCAACGAAGTATTAATTAGCTCTATGAAAACGTAACGAGTACCTTGTGGAAGGCAAATAAACTCACTGAACGTATTCGGCAAAGGTGCGTAGCTGATAGTGCTGTCAAGGTCAGCTATATTCATCTTTTCCAAAGACGACTGTTGTGAATAATCTAAGTAAACTTAAAGGTTTACGAACTCAATACTATTCGCAGGCACCTACTTCGGTCAAACAATACGTTCTTGGCAGAATGGTATTACCGACAAAGACAAGGGAGACTGGAATGGCCATTTCTGGCTTATTAGCCGTCATCAGCCAGCCATACCCAAGCCCGAAGTGTGGAACACCCGAGCCTCGAACTCGTGACCTGTTGGTTTAGAAGTCAACGCCTCTACTCACCGGGCCACGAGCCCGTTGCCTTGTCGGTTTTCGATCGGGAATATACAATGTTAGGGGGCGGGTGTTCCACACTTCGGGCTTGGGTATGGCTGGCTGATGACGGCTAATAAGCCAGAAATGGCCATTCCAGTCTCCCTTGTCTTTGTCGGTAATGCCATTCTGCCTATATATCATGCGCCGCTGTGCGGCTGCTGGTTGGGCTCGAGAGAGAGAGCCCTTAAGGCACAACGGAACGAGTGAGTTCCGTATGAACGATCGGTGAGCGCCCCCTAACATAATACGTTCTTGGCCGGCGTGATGTCAATCCTGAAACTGTCTGTGAGCGCACACTGGTATTGCTTACTGTCTTCGCATCGAACAGAAATTCCTCCTGCGTTATGCCCGTGAAGCAAATTCGGGGACTATATTCTGGGTTGGACATAGGTAGTTACCTCGACCTCGCTGAGTCGCCTTACAATCTACTGCAGGGTCGCGAAGGACTTCTGAGTAAACACTTTAATCTATTTAGGTAACTTTCGAAAGGGAAAGTAGAGAGAGTCCAAAACACCATGCAGTACTTCATTTATATGGTTTTTTGTATTCGATGCCTTGATTACTGCGCGTTCAGTACGGTGCATTTGAGGAAAATAAGCCTAGGCCTTTGAACTCCCGGCTGGTTAGCAACGCTGGCGAAATTACAGTGCCAAGCGAAAACGACCTTAGTTTCGCGTAAGTAAAATTGTTTTTAGGATTACGCAATCTCATAGTTCGCTTGTTGCAGCAGCGTGTGTCTGTCAGGTCGACGCTTGAATTTCTCCTCAAACTAAGTCATTATAATGTCGCGGAAAAGTACCTTCTCACATTCAATCTTCGAAGCACACGTAGTTGGAAGGCATGCCCCGGGAGGATGGTAGAAGTGTAACGGATATACTCTGCTATTCTGCGCCAACTACAGACTTCCGGGGTCCAGTTGTCGCGGTGGATGAAACAGTTATAAATCAAACGAAATGAAACCGTGAAAAATCTCAGCCTTGCGGATGGCCGTGCTTGTTATGCCACCGTGCGCAAACTGATATGTTTCAAGAGGCTCCTGACCGAATCATTTTCGGGTTTTTTCCTTTGAAATGGAATCTGTTTTGGCCATACAGTATGTTCAATTCTGATGAGCGGCGAAGGTACAGTGGGTTTCCGCATGTTGTCTTAGAGCACCACACTGTAAACCACTAACAATGTTTCTACTAAGCCGGGGCTAGAAGCGACGATAAAGTTACTGAAGCAGAATAGAATGCCGGCTTTGCACCGTGCATAGGTTAGTGGGCAATTACAGGAAATAATGAATACATTACATGTAAAAGGGCCGGCATTGTCTATGGTCCCATTTCTAAAAAAACACCTTTTGAAGAAACATGGCTTTGTTTCTCATTTTATTGCCAACAGTGACCTGTGAAATGTTTCGCTTTTCTACGCCTTCATTTGATCTTCATTCGGGCTTCATTTACGTTTTATTAATGAACGAATATGTTTTACCATAGTTGCTTTCTTTATGAAACAGTGCTGTTATGCTGCGACCTCTGCTCCCCAGAATAAAGTTTCACCTTCGGTGCCCTTTATTTGGGTCTACCCCATAATATTTAGACCACCTTTAGCTGGCTTTGAAAGCTGAAGGCATACCAAACTCATTTGGAAACTGGGATCTACTGCTTAGCCGATACCGTCATATTTGCGCCACGCAACAACAGGAGATGGACGGGACGACGATGTGCTGATAGGTTTGCCGGTGAAAATTACGCAGTTACTGTCAGGAAGTTAGCGATATTGAACCCAGAATTAGACCTAACCAGCACAGTTTCGACAGTTTTAGTTTAGTTTTCTAATTACAGGTCTCGTGTTAGACGGCTGCGTCCTCTACAACTTCTTGTTCCTCTCAGCTTATTGGGCAAATTGTTATCAGCCTTCTCATTCCAAGGTGTCTTATCACGGTTTTGCCAAGACACCCCGTGAGTACAGTGCATTGCGAATACCTTTTTAAGAAGATCATTTTTTTGCAAAAGTCAGCCCGAACCGAGCTTCCATATATCGAGTAATTCTCGGTGTTAGTGAATGTTATGTCATCTCTGAGACGGAACTGGCTACCTGTATCCGTGCGTCTTCAGTGACAAAGATGTCGTTGCGGGCCAGCTGTCCTCGACGCAATCACCGTTTACCCGTTTCAGTGTGAGCCTTTGCATACTACACAGTCTAAACCCCTTTGAGCCTCTTTCTTAGTTGACTTTCGACTTCCTCAGAAATTACCCACTTTGTCCAACCTATTCTTGGGTCTGTCGTTTATCACGTGCTACGAAATTTTAGGGACTTACTGGTTTATAGACCTGTTGGATTAAGTGGGAACAGGAGCGAGCGTTTTCAGATTCTTGGGATTGTGGCTTGCGTGACGAATTGATGCGGTGTCAGAAATAAATTCCACAGCAGATGTCGTGGTCTTGCTAGACTTCTTAACTTTCTGTGCGAACGAGTGATGATTTTCAAAAAATGAGCAACTAATAGATATTTCTAAGGACATCTGTGTGGTCGTTCCTTACCTGCATAAACAGCAAAACATTTGTGCGAGGTCTTGACAGAAGTCTGTTTGGATTTAGAATGAAAATTATTATGCGGCATATCACCACGTAAGCAGTGATATGCGGGGTCATGCTTTCTGTCAGTTCCACTGTCTTCTAGGATGTTTTTTGGAGTATAAATATACTCGCTGTATAACATATGTAGGACGACACTTGTGCAGCCTGTGCACAAGAAGCAATAACTACTGAGTCTTATCGCAAATGGATGCCTTCGCACAGGTCTAACTTACTAACACCCCTTTGACCGAAGCAAAGATTCTTCATAGGATTAGCATACAGTATCCGGTTGACACCCTGCTAGCACCATCCCCGTTCAGACCTGTCAATCTCTCGACTCCTTTGGTCTGAGTTGATCCGTTTTGCCGCACTTAACAAAATTTTCATTAGTCGCAACTATCAGCTTGCTCAGCAAATGGGTTACCTTCCCGAAGTGAGAGGGTAAAATAACAGGCAACGAGGCACTTTATCACACGCCATCCTCCTAACTTGCCATGCACCCCTCAACTACCATAAGGAAAATCCAAGCTCCTTAGTGTGCTAAAATGTGTCCAAGGCCGCTTTCGTCAAAAACATTGTCTGCCTGATCAAGGGACATTTTGGATGTCGCGGTTCGCGCAGTACCTTTACTAATGACCTTTCGCCGCAAAAGCAGATGCTGTTGCGGCAAGTGTCAGGCTGATTTTTTGTAGTCTAAAATCTACCCACTTCTCCGCTCAGAGAGTAACACACGGCAAAAGCACGTATGCGTTTTCTCGTTTTTTCTTTCATAGGAGACATGGGATGGCTTGTTCAGTTCGACGGGACAGTCTCCTCGAAAAATCAAAAACAAGTACAGGTAGTGTAGCAGAGGGAATTTCCTGGCCATACAGTTAGCGAAATTATGGTATTCTTTATGCCTCTTGAGGGATCGTGTTCCTGTGTACTCGGCTAAACTGGAAGAGCAAACAGGTATGACTCATAAACAAACGGTATGAACTTTATTTGCTAATACTTGGGCCGGTCGGAAGCGTCTTCATCTGATTGACTTGCTATCAGACACGCGAATAACACCGCCTTTGTGATCGTCCTCGTTTTCGCCCCACAGGTTTGTTTCTCCAAATTTCCGCATAAATCGACCTCAGTGTACTTAGGTAGGATACCACAACACTAGCAATGTCCACTTTAAACACAGGTATTAACTGAACACACTTCGTTTCGTGTGATGGATTTCTTGCTATGCTTAGAGACCGGACTTATCACATGGTGACTTATTTTATTTAAAGGGCACTTATTTGCTTGATATATGACCCTTTTTACAATACTTGTCCTTCAGTGTTGTCATTTTTTGATGGTATTTTTTAGCTTGCCTGGCCTTCAACATTGAACTACTTGTTCAGAAGAAGGCTCATGTCATTTTATCCCGAGACCTCTCTCGACCTGGCTTTAATTCCATCTCTGAACGAAAAATCTGCAGTCCTCCATGGCATCATCTAAGCCTTGTGATCATGTGCTTGAGTTACTTACGGAAGGCATCCACCCCATCATCTCATCCGACGAGAATGCTGTCGCTCCCGGTACACCCACGAGTCCCTCACTGATTTTCCTTCTAAGCACCGCACCTGACTTATGTGCGAGTTCCTCTTCTGTGTCCCCAATAGGGATGAGCCTTTCACACTTCAGTTCGGGTACATCCAACCTTTTGCTTGCACGACCGTCTTCGACAAGCCTATCTTCATCAGGTTCTTCTTGCAAAGACATTTTTGTTGATATCTTGAGACAGGTGAGTCACCGCTGGTTGGATACTTTGGCTACTGCAAGATGGGACTTTTTGCTATTGTTATTTCTCCGGGAGTACACATTTGGCAAAGGAGCGGCGCTGTCGACGGCCATTGTAAAGGCCACTTCGGGCGCCACTTTTATTTGTCCGTCTATGATAGCGTACAGGACACCCGATCAAAACATCTACCTGGAATGAAAAATAATAGCATCTACTGGAAGTATTATCATAATTTGCACCACCAATGTTATTACTGCCGACTTTGGCATTATTATTACCACTACTGCGTGTCAATGTTTCCCCAAAGAAGGGCGATTGCTCGGGAAGGGGACACATCTCTGTTTAACGTCTAAGGGTCACCACACTATCACTCTGTCGTTTTCTCTAGTATTTTGGCAAATCCTACTCAGTGTTATACAGCTTTTTTCGAAGCCCACAGTTATTTCAGCCATCCATTTCACGAAGTCCATAAATTGAGACCCTCGATATTGCAGCCACCCAGCCTCACAACCAACCGCTTCTTTTGAACAGGCATTTGACGATAATGCATGTAGAACGTCTGAACTTAGCATCTTCAGGGGCCGGAGAAGAATATTTATAGTCTACTGAAAACTTATTTTGAACGTCGTTTCTAGGCTGTTGGTTCGCCTCGTGTCACCGGAGAACCGCTCCACATAGACAGATCGGGAAAATTTAACATATTTCTCCCATATGACCTGTAATGTATGTATTCCTCATCGCCCATGTTGGTAGCATTCTCACTTGCAGAGCAAAACTGCCTGGGATACTGATTTATATACTTTAACGTTACTGTAAAAGTTGATTTTCCTTTTTGTAAGTTAAGTTGCACTCGGAACAGCTTTAATCAAGCCTGATCTAGCCAGCTTCGATGATGTCGGATATTGTAGCTCCTCACGCATGAAGATTCGCGGCAGTAGACCCAGACTGTGTTTTGACCGAGGATTTTGCATCAGCGACTCACGGTAAACTTGCAGATGACGTAACTCCCCAGCATTTGTTTAGGGCACCTTTTCTAGTTCCTACCCCACCACGGGGTAAGCAATGCTATCCCTAAATAGGACTACTCGAATATCGCAGACGACTGCCGAACTTAATTTTAGGCCACGGCTTTATTTAGTGTAGAGCGACTCGAGTTAGTCTGGGTCGCCTACGGAACTGCCCGTCGCCCTTTCCGTAGGACATTTTGAAAGTGGAGAGGGAGAAATGTGATAGAGAACAGAATTGCCGGCTGTGGAGACACAGAACACCAGATACTCTCATTTTGTTTGGCCTGCCGGCCAAGGCGGTTGCCGGGGTGTGGTCGCTAGGCAGAGCCAGCTAAGGACCGCGCGAAGCAGTCATCACTTGCATGATGCAACCTACCAAACCTACACGGTTCGCTTCCCAACCAGGCACTCGTACATCCCCTCACCACACACAACAGTCCGACTATGTGTGGGCACTTGCTATGGATGCCCATCCCCAATGACGCCAACCGTCCCCTGCTCTAGCCCACCGTATTGGTGTAGCTCATTTACCGCGTGGTGCGTTTTAGGGACACACACAAACAGATTTTCGTACACATATAGAGACGAGTAACATCTTTCTTAATGCCCTACTTAGAGTGCCAACGACAGTGACGCTTATCTCCTGGCTTTCCAAAGGCTGTCGACTGACTCGGGCAAGTCCGTCTTCCGTGCCCACCTTGTTGGTCTGCCGTCACAGTCGACTCTCGAGTGCGTTTCCCATTTCGAAGTCGAAGATGAGCTCGGAGAACACATGTTGGTGATTTGGAAAGTGCACCGTTGTCTCTTTCACTCGCGGGACTGCGAACGTCGCAGCGGACCCCTGCACCCTATAGCATTCGCCTACATTGACTCCCACGCCTCCCTCTCCTCCCTCCTTCACAACTTCGGCCTTGATTACTTGCTCACTGTCTTCGGTTTCTCCTTCCCCCACTCTAGCTGGCTTTCGTTTTGGCCATGGGGTAGATTTTCCTTCATTTTCAAGCCCTCCGTCGATCTGGCAACCCTGCTCACGACCTCTCCTAACAAGCGCGAGCTCACCACATTTACTAACGTTTTTTGGGGCTATTTTGCACCATTCCTCGTTAATCGGTTCTCGCGTCTGTCCCAGCCGATCATTAACTCTTTTAAGGCCCTCCAGAATGAATTGGAGAAGTCCAACCAAGCCGTCCGCGTGTTCCTTCCCCTGCCGTCAGACCAGCCCATATTTTGTTTCCTGGCCGGCTTGACCGACCTTAGCTCATTCCGCGATTCCAACGTCCTTGACCTTCTTCACACGTACCTCCTGCCCTTCGCAACATCCGAGGACCTTGATGCTCTGGTTCGTCGGTCTTCAGATGTTTGTGTTCTGTTACTGCAAGAAACGGCTCTTTGTGAGCTTTTTGCTGACTATCGGCCCGACCTAATTGTCCAGCTGCTTGAGAACCCATACATACAAGAGCAGACCTTTAGGTGCCTTCTCCTCTATGCCGAGCACGAAGGTGATGTGGTGCTCACTGACTGGATTCGCTTCATTCTGAATCTCCTTCTCGACTGTCTGCTGCAGTGTGAAGACAACCATCAGGATAGGACCGTCCTTGCAAAGGTCAAGGCACCCTTTAGAGCAGTTCCGTCACCCCTGCGGGGTTTGGTGGATCTGGAGTTGCAGCGCTTTGCCCTAGCTTACGGCCGCCTTCATGGTAGCCTTCAGAACCTGAGCAGAATAGCCACTCGACGGGCTCTGAGGTTTCGATTAAACACCCTTACTTGTCCACCCTACGTTGCTTTGACCGAATACATCGCACAACTGCAAATTCCCCCACATTTTAGGTCATTCCTTTCCTCGTGTGGTCTCCCCGGTCTGCCGGTGGGCAACACCAGCAGCGACTGAGTTATGCGAATTTGCCTTATCTGCCATCACGCACTTACCATAGATCGTTCTCATCTTTCCTTTTCATATCCCTTTACTAGGCAGTATGCGAATAATTAACTTGAAATTTCCTTTCACTGATTTTGGGGCGTCTTCAAAACCATATTTTTTTATTCATTTACGTTCTTTTTGCTGCTAGTGTAATGACCGGTGTGGAAAGTAATTGGCGGGTGTAAAGACTGGAAGTGCAAGTATCTTAAGAAGTTCGGAAGTTCAGCCCTTGGCCTATGTTTACTCGCTCACGGAGGTCTTTTCGATGTCCTTCAATCTGAACTTCGCTCGCACCATGGCCCACCCGTCCTTGTCAGCGATGGTTGTGGTCATACTGATGTTGGTAATGTTTCGTTTACAATTGTCGTGTACTCATAAGCGACCAAATAGACTAGTAAGATGCTTGAATGTACACGACCAGTGCCGGCAGGGTAAAAGGGCTTGAGGTTTGTTGGCCGGAGCTCCACGCAAAGGTTACACGCCTATATTTTTATGGGTTCGCAACTGTCCGACCAGGTCAGTTGGTCAATGAAATGTGCGTTCGGAGTGGGGGAAGGTTGGAAGCATTGCGACATTGCCGGCAACTGTCCTCTGCATCCTGACGTCGCTGCTGAGGTGTCTGTGAACGTGTCTGACGAGCAATCCGTGACCGGAACGTGCAGTCACTATGAGAGCCTTCGAGAGGGGCTTCTTTGACAATGACGCTGTTGCAGGACGTCAGGGACGTGTTGGCAGTTCTGGAATTGTTGTGCATGCGAAGGTTACAAACTTCGTCCATCCGGACTTTGGCAGTAGGGATAAAAGTGTTGGATGTTTGTGGTTCCTACCCTTAGGCAGGGTGGGGAGACTCAACACCTTCTCTAAGCCGTATCCCAGCGCATCTCCACGAATTTGCACGACTTATTGAGTGCTGCTCATTCTGCTACGCGTCTTCACCTTCGTCAGCTATTTACCGTGAAGTGCGCTAACTGGTGTTCTTTGCGGAAAGGAAGTCTGCGTCACCTTTAGGAGCGTGCGTGCCCTCACGGCCCTGAGATCAAAATCCCTGACAATTCACAACTACTTGCAGTGTTGACGCTTTCTACTCGCCTGCCATGTCTGACGAAAAAACAAGCGAGATGTCAGGATTGAGCCAATTCACCGGCTGCAGTAACGTGACTAGTGATATCGGCAGGCCTACCGTAACATGCCGGCCCAGAAGACGAACAGCACTCATGGCATGGGGACCTGGGTCTCCCTGCATTGTCTAAATTCCGCCGAACAGCACAATTACTTGCTGTTGATGCCCTCTCATCAAACGATTGTGACCACGAAAGATGTAGTTCCCAAGACGCCCTTTGCGATGTTTCCTCGTCCGTTCCTTTCGTCGATGTCTAGATTTTAGGAGCGGGGAGAGAGTGAGTATGGAAGGGAGGCTTTGATTTTAAACAAATTGTCCGCCAAGTCCTAGGAAAACGCGTCCTCAGTATTCACAGTGACAAATGCGACTGGCCACTAATACCAATAAGATGGTTATGGCTAGCAGTAAGTTCCAGCTTCAAAAAGGACGCTTGCCGACACGTTTTCAATTGGCGGTGGGGTCCACAGCGACCTGACTGTATTCCGCTATGCCAGCACCTAACAAGTGCGTTTCTTGACTGTCATTCAGTGCGTGGACTGCGTGCATAACTTGGTTCACACTCCTAAAAGAGCGGCCGTGCTTGTGTCTCAGGTCGTTCATGAAGGCCACTCCAGCCTAAAGCTTAATGCTCATAAACTGATACAATTAGTAGACAGTCAACTGCTTTCACCAGTATGCTACTGGCCGTCTTGCTTTGCTGGCCAATCCTGACGCTCAGTTGTTTGATGGACATGAAGAATGAACCCTACGCAGGAACACTATTCCTGAGGCGCCGTTGCGGGCGCAAATTTGAGCACCGGGTATCTAAAAACACAGTTTATTCGGCGCTGGATTCTTCGTGTGCCCGAACCACGAAAGAACCTACATAATTTCAAACCTCTGGGTCCCCAGACAGTACAGCTGGTGTGGGAAGACTGAGGTCGATAATATTAAGACATGACGCTGGCAGTGGAACAAGCACCACTGTCAGTGGCACCAAAGCCTTGGTAGTTGCCCCTGACATTCGTTGAGGGGAAGTTATGGGGTCACTAGTACAGAAAAAGATTCTACCAGCAGTCACTAGTACTGCGAAAACCGAGGCAGGTCTTACAGTTTTATCAGTGAATTAGCAATTTAGGCGAAAACACAAGTTGGGGAATCGGTTGACAAGGCGATCGCCAGAGCAAGAATTTAACCCTCTTGACGCCTGGAATTCACACTTGAAGAGGGTGATAGAGGCTCAGTGGTTGCAGTACTCATAGGATGAAGTTACTATGCCATCGCATAACCTTTAGAATTACCGGCTCTTGTCTTCGTTGCGATCGTTGACTTAGCACAAAGCCGCCATCGTTAGATGCACTGACGTGACTTCTACTACTGTTGCCCCTGTAAAGCCTTACTATTGTGATCCCGCACTGCCCCCGGCTGCCTTCGACTGTTCGGCCATCGCCAAGGACTATTTCAACCGTGTGTCCCATATCATAGTGGGCGCGAGAGTGGTGACTTGCACGTGAATTAGTTTTCCGTGCTAGGAGGCTTGCGCAGCGTCTGCCACACTCTTTCCTCCCTCCTCATCTTAGGTCCAGTTACAAGATATATTCAGGATGGCAGGGGAGGGGCGGGGTCGAACGCGTTGGCTGACAGAGCTAAACGAGCAGTCCACGCTTGCCGTAAATGCCTGGTCCATGCACGACGGACCAGGTTTTCACAGAAACAAGAAGTGGTAGGGTTGGATCCCATCTGAAGGCGAATGCCACAGAGGCTACGTTAAGAAGGAGCCATTGGAGGCAGGCTTTTCATCCGAAAAGGGCCGAGTTATCTCGTCAGTTGGCAGCCTTCCAGGGCACGACTTTCAGCGAATGGTGATAATTTCGAATTTCGTCGGATAGTTTGTAGCGAGGCGTATGCGCCAAGTGCCGAGAGGATGCGGTCCCTAGGGTCAGCCCCACTTTCTTCCAGGCACCAAGTAACTGCCCCAGCTAGTCAGCCATCCAATGCGGAGATCGAGAGCAAGTGGCTTACGCCGTATGTGTCTGCGTCTAGGCGTGCCGTACGTGCGTGGGCAATTTTTGGCTTCCGCTATCTGCAAACGTTTCTGTACAGAAAAGAAGCACCTGTTGTTTTTATTCACGGGTGTGTATCTTTTGCCAAGTACACCCTCGTAGGTTAGAACTTACACGTCTTTTCTCGCGAAATGAACTAAGATGACGCATTGTGTGATTATGTTATATTTTGCAAATACAGTGAGTGACAGATCTCATGAAATGTTGACCAAAATTCTGAAATGCTTTTTAAATTGGGAAGGATTACTTAGGCACCGTTGTAACATTGATTATCTTCCGGGCATAATCCTATAAGATTTCGGACTCGGCAAGATGCCGATTCTTGAATGCATTTCTTCTCAATCTCCCGTATAAACCGTACTCGGTAAAAGATGACTACTTATGTAGCACGCATTTTTCGCACTGATTTTCGATGGTCTTATAAAATCAAATATATTTTACAGAAGATATGCACAAAAATATTCTTTTTTAACCCACTTGATAGAGAATCATGTTAGCTTTATATTTTATACTGGAAGAAGGAGTACGTCTAGGTTTTAAAAAAAGTTTTCTAATTCCCGATTAATTTGAAGCCCGATCAGCCTTTGCATTAGCGCCTAATGATTTAAGTTTACAATTTGCACCCCTTCTGCGTAAGGACAATCGTATATTTTTCTATCCCTTTAAAAAGATACTATAGTGAGTCCATAAAATTTTGTAATGGATTGGGACTATGTTGTACATTTCATGAGAAGCAGTGTCAAACGGAAAGGTACGATGCTGTATGAATGAACATTGCGCGGTCTCAAAAATCTCATAATAAGAAATTTTCTTAAAACGTAAACGTACTCCTTCCAGTATAAAATATAGAGCTAACATGATTCTCTATCAAGTGGGTTAAAAAAGAATATTTTTGTGCATATCTTCTGTAAAATATATTTGATTTTATAAGACCATCAAAAATCAGTGCGAAAAATGCTTGCTACATAAGTATTCATCTTTTACCGAGTACGGTTTATACAGGAGATTGAGAAGAAATGCATTCAAGAATCGGCATCTTGCCGAGTCCGAAATATGATAGGATTATGCCCGGAAGATAATCAATGTTACAGCGGTGCCTAAGTAATCCTTCCCAATCAAAAAACATTTCAGAATTTTGGTCAACATTTCATGAGATCGGTCACTCACTGTATCTTCCACTATCTATTCGGAATCTTTACGCCACATCGTTATTTGGATTGATCAGGGGTATTGTTCCGCGACATTATTTGATCCTGTCGATAAGACTTACTTAAATAACTAAACTTGCTGCCCATGCGAGTTAAATCGATTAGACCCTTCCAATATTTATCTTTGCTTTAAATCATAGGAACTTTTGCTCGGTTCCTCGGAAACAAGACACTCCCAAGCATTAAGATTTATCCCTACAAAATTAACTAGATTATTATTTTTGTGGTTTACAAAACCTGCCCCGTTCTGCTCATCTAAATTATCGTTTTCCTTCTACAGCTCGAACCAACAGGGAAGCACGGCTAGCCTGATATTGCAAGACGTCATCTGCGAGTTAAAAAACTAGGTTATTACAACTCTTCTTAAATCAGGCCAATTATGCGGAATGTGTGATATTGCTCCTCTTTGCAGGCACCTATGCTTAACACAGGGGTAGGGATCGGTTCCGCTGACCTAGTTTCAAGCATAAGCGCAATGTGGACATTGCAAGTAAAGTAGGCCGAGGGAGGACGCTGAACTCGTTATTGGGAAAGTAACCAAAGCTAAAGCAGAAAAGGGTTGGTTTTAGGGTTTGGGTTAGTGTTAGGCTGAGAATTGAG